TTTTCCAATTCTTTCTTATTACATTCATGATAAAAACTGGGTTTATTACAAGTTACACAATCACACCTCTTTTAAGCTGTGTGTAGGATAAATTATCAAAACCATCAATCCAGTAAGGAGTTTTTTCTATACCAACCAAATGGTGCCTGCCTAGTTATTTTACTTATTCCAACTGGGCTAACAAGACATACAAAAGGTTAAAAACCAAGTCCAGTAAAATTTCTCTACTTATCCACACTCCTATTCAAGACTTACTCACTTAATAAATACCTATAATACAATACTGACATTCAGAAAACTGAGGATTTGACTCCTGCTCCAAAAATAAATCTTTGTGGGAGAGTCACACATCCAACAGCTACAAGTATAAATGAAGACCCACGGGGAAAAAGATTACTATTTGCATCTTTTCATGGATATCTCACTTAACACAATTAACAATTCTATGAAATAAAAGGATTTATCTTTTTTTAACCTTTTTTTCTTTAACCAATTTGGTTGAATAACAAGTTAATATATCTAACCTGATCTTTCCAACCTTTAAGTGTACCCAGCTCTAAAATATATTATCAATCATTACCATAAATGAAGGCAACAAAAATCACAATTAGTTTTTCAAGGTCTCTAAACATACACACAGGAAGGAAATTTTAAAAAATGGTTTCCCTCACCTCTAAAATAAAGTTGGACTAGATCACAGATGACTAGGAATTAAGTGACATTCCAGGAACCACTCTTCAGTGCCATTCTCTGAAACCCATGTCTTAAACATACATTACTAATGAACCACGACACTCTTTCCCATCAAGCACAGAAGTGCATCAATGTCTTTATCAAAATGGTAGCCATTACCAATTGGAATAAGTAAGCAGAATGTAATCTATTTAACATCTTTGAATTAAATAAGGTCCAGATATAAAGCAAACTACCCAAAAGTTTTACCCAACTAATCTAAAACAAAAGTAGGCCTCAAAATAATATGAGTGACATAACTGTATAATGCTAATAGCACACAAAGTACCTTCTATTATCATTTTATCTTCATACCCAGTAAAAAATTATCTCTATTTTTACTTATTTTTTAAATATATCAGTGAAATAAGGTGCTTAATTCAAGGTCACGCATCTAGATAAGTGGCTTGATCAACTCCTTTGCAACCCCATTACAACTTCTTTTTTTAAAAAACACAATTTTTAGTTGTAGATGGACACAATATCTTTATTTTGTTTATTGATTTTTATGTGGTGCTGAGGATAGAACCCAGGGCCTTGAAAGAGCTAGGCGATCGCTCTACTGCTGAGCCACAACCCAGCTCCCCATTACACCTTTTTATGTGAGAAACTTGGAGTAGCTAGTGGAAGCTGTTGGTATTTAAAATGACACAAAAATGTCAATCCAATATCTTCTGCCCTCTTCTAAGCCACTGGACTATAGACAACTACTTTAGATCAGACAAGCTCCTCTTTTCGTTAAAATAATAACAATAATAATTAAATTTGGAATAATTAATCAATTTTTAAACTCAATCATTTAATAAGACATATGCTGTATTTTGTATACATATATACATTCATTCACACACACACCCCTCAATCAGAAAACACCATATACTTTTGAAGGATAACATAAATGAAAAATGGAATAGAATCAAAAGCTTGGATAGGATACTAAAAATATTAAGTTTTTTGGTCTCAACTCCTCCACTGTCCTGATACTTTTTCATTTCTTTAATGCCAATCTTGAAGCAACATATTAGTAGGTAAATCTATATACAGCATTTTATATGTGTAGAATTGCCTTCTGACTACTTTAGGAATATATTTTTCAATTCCCTTTTCTTTAAGATTACATTACATCACAGTGAACACACTATTCCTAAAATTAAAGTCATTTGAGAGAAGTTGTCACAGCTACTTATGCCACAACATATTCATCATTTCCTCTTTTCAGAATTCTGACCAACTTAATTGGAAATTCCTGCTCAGGCATTCCTGTTTCTGGATGGCTTCTGAAGCATGAGAACTATCCATCATGTAACTTAAAAAGACTCTATTTTAAAAAGCTAACTTTTAAAGGACAGTACTTGAAAGCAACTGGGGATTGAACAGAGGGGCTGGCACATATGAGGCAAGGGCTCTAAAACTGAGCTACATTTCCAGTCCTTTGTTTTTTTTCATTTTTTTATTTTTGAGACAGGGTCCCACTAAGCTGCCCAGGCTGGCCTTGACTTTGTGATCCTTCTGCCTCGACCTCCAGAGTAGCTGAGATGATTACAGGTAGTGACTCATGGCTAAAAAGTCCTTTCTTAACCATAAAATATCCCAAAGATTTTTTGTTACCAGCACAAGAATCTTTTCCCTCATATTAGAATGTTCTACTTTTGCACACATCTAAGTAACTACAACAATGGAGTTTTACAAACCACCTACCAAATAATCCAATGGTTTCCAAAGTGTAAATCTGATCCTCTTTTCTACTCTTTAAATTATTCAAAATTAGTCTACAAAGAATTACTGTAGACTGCCTAAAGAAATATTTCAGACTTCAATACCACATTCTGTATTTATGGTCCTGGAAAAACAGCAGTAATTC